GGCGCGGGGCTCGGCGGGGCACGGACGGGCCCTGGTGGTTTGTGAACTTGGCGCAGGGCGGTTTGAAGCAGTGAGAGGCGGAAGACGCCAGGAGGATATTTTTGGAGCGGTTTCCAAGGCGCGGGTGGTGGGAAGGTGGACCAGGAAGGTGCCCTGGGATCGGGAGAACTTGTGGATAAGTAGTCGACAGGGATGGCTGAAGTTTGCGGTCTGTGTGGAGGGCCACTAGCAAATAGGAAAATCGGGGACAGGAATGGATTTAAGGTCGCCTTCACTTAGTGTGTGCTGGGCTGAAAGGAGAGTACAAGAGATACTTGTGCTAATTGAAAACCGTGGCGGGAAAAGCAGGAGAGAGAAGAATGTGTGCACATGTACTTGAAGTCCTGGGACGAGTGTAGTGTCGCACGGGCTGTGACCACCTCTCCTAAAGAGAAGAGAACCAGAAGAAGAATTTCTGCTGTCACACGTCAAATAATCACTTGTTGTTTGAATCGGGGGAAGTCTCAGTAGAGATGGACGATTTTACTTCGTGAAAATGGGTTTTAGTAGAAACAACTGAGAAGTCTTTTTTTACCGAGAATCGAACTTGGGACCTTGTGCTTGCCAGGCAGGCGCTGTGCCGCTGAGCTAAATCCCCGGCCCCTGAGAGGTCTTTAAAATAAGATACACAAGCACATGTTCCATTCCAGAACAAGGATATCATTACATTATGAAGCCTCTGCACTGTACTAGCGGGATTGAGGGTGAAATGGCCGATGATGTCTTGGCATTATGAAGATAATTTTGACCTATGGACCTATCCACACGTCTAGGTGTTGGAGATCATACTTTAATAAAACTAGTGATTTTTTAAAAAGTTTTAAATGAGTAGTATATACATTGAATATATGTTATTTTCAATGCTTGTGACCAGAATTTTTTTGAATATGAGATTTTTGTTGGGTTTTGGGATATTTGTATATACATAACGAGATACTTTGGGCCTGGGACCCGAGACTGAGTGTGCAGTTCATTTATATTTCTTATACATGTAGGCTAAAAATAGCATTTTTTGGTATGTTTGTGTTTTGCCTGCAACCTGTTACAGGTGGTCAGACTTGGTAGTTCCCATGGTTGGAGTCATATTAGGATTTAAACACTTTCAGATTTTGGAGTATTTCACATAGCAGATATTTCAGATTAGGAATGTTCAGCCCGTGTTTCTAACACACTTTCACTGAAGTTTTAAGTAGAGACAAATGAGTCATATATTCCCCTCTTCTTCCTGTTGTCTCCTGTCTTGGGGGGCATTTGAATAACTGTCTTAGTTGTTTCACTCCTGCTTTGGGCCCAGATTTTTGACTTAAAAATCATTTTTTTCCCTTTGGGTATGTTTTACCATTTACATGTTATGTCTCAAGTTTAGAAACACGACTGTAATGTGTACCTGTTTTTTCCATTTGACAGAAAATTCATTTGCAAATTGCCCGACAAAGGTAAAAAGATCTTGGATACAGTTGCCAAACTGAAAGCTGCTATTGCTGATCGTGAAGAGGATAGAGGAAAAAGTGAACTGTTTAATCCTGTTAATTTAGACTTTGAGCTAAGGCAAAAGGCAATTGCAAGAGTTGATGCGGACGTAGATAAGACCCAGAATTCTGAACAGATACTTGATACTTCATCACTAGTTTCTGGCTGTTCTCCTGTAGATAAAATCAAGTTATCCAAAACAGCTTCAGAAAATCAGGGACTTGTGCTTCCTACTCACAAAGACAAGGAAGAGTCTCCACCGGCCGAGTCCACAGTGAGCCAGCGCCCAGCTTCCAGCAGCAGGGCTGGGAGGCTTTCCCCAACCCAGGCTGAGGAGCATCTCCCGCAGCAGTGTGTTTCGGGTCGCACAGAAGATATTTCCGGCGGCTTGAACAACTCATTTATCGACAAGTTGGAGAGGATCATGATTACGGACCAAGGTGACCACCACGCAGAAGCCGAGACCTTGACGAGCCTCTCTAGTGGGCCTCCTAAGAGGCCTCATTACATGGAAGTGCTAGAAATGCGAGCCAAGAACCCAGTGCCCCCATCACATAAATTTAAAACCAATGTGTAAGTATCACTGGGAGCAGACCTGTCACAGGACGTAACCTATATGAAACTCAAAAAGGGGGATGAGTGCTTTTAAGTTCAGTGGGCTGTATGTGAGCATACTTATCGGTGGGCATGAACACTGTGGAAACATCGAGGCCAGCTTGGCAGGAGCAGAGGATTTCTGTTGAAAAATACTTTGGTCTTGAAGCCAAATAATTTAAAAAGTTTTAAGTAGCAGATGGGGAATATCAAATTTCAGGATGCTTAGCCAGTATTGCATAATAAACACAGAATTGGATAGACAATTTATTATGGTTTTTTTTTCCAGTACCATTTTCTGGTGTGCTGCTTCCCTTTGATTAACCAGTAAGCAGAGGGAGAAGCAGTTGCAGGATCTGATGGGCCTGTCTACATGCTCACTGTGCATAAGTGACCTTGCTCTGCGGGTGAAGTAAAATAAAGTGTTCCCCAGAGAATTCAGGATCTAGATGAGGAACAACATTCACATTCTCAAGGGAAAATTTAACTATAGAATACTAACAGTTTCTGGGCTCTAGGGAAAGGCATTTGAAAAGAGCTAAAAAATTGAACCTTGATTCTGGCTTCTGAGTTCCTTGCCATACTTTTGTTTCTGATATTTCCAGCAAAAGTTCCTTGAAAAGGAAAGAGTTGTTCTTTATGGACTGCACATGTAACATTCAAGTGTACTTAGAAGGATGTTAACGTAAGATACAAGACACTTTTCTTTGAGAAACTGAAAGTCCCATGTTTAGAAATACCTAAAATACGTTTTTGTTGTAATAAGAAGACTTTAAAGTTAAATGCTACCCTTTGAGTCAATTTTTTTTAACCTCAAAGCATTGCTGCTGTACGGAAGAGCAATATTGTACTACATTTCTCGCTTGGGATGAAAAGTGATCTTTGATCAAGTACTCTTGTTCCTGAATGCAGTGAGGTGTCTCTTCATTTCTAGGCCATTTTGGAAAACCAGAAGCACCATTCAGTTAACAAATGCAAGAAAGTATCGGTTCCCCTGTAGATGAAATCCAGGTCTGGATTGCAATCTTGTAGCAAAAGTTGGAGATGAGGGGACAGAAGTGAAGGTTCCCAGGGATCAGGATATTTAGGAACGAGGGAGTACCCTGTGCAGCAGAGGCGAGCAGCACGGGCTGAGCCGCAGGAGTCAGTAGGCACAGACTGGCCAGCGTGGGGGTTCGTTGGGTGGGTCGTGGCTTGGAGGGCGGGCAGTAGGATGAATTCATGCTTGGCTCTTGTTTTTAGGGCGCTGGGTGTAAACCCGGGGCCTCATGCATGCTACCAGGCGTTGCTGACCGGTACTTTGGCCCTTGTGCTTTTCCTTTGGCCTTCCGCGTGCTCTGGCTTTGTATACTCTACCTGGATGGTGGAGGTTGCTTTTGATACAGGTCCTGCCAGTCAGCTGTGAAACAGGGCCACTTGGGTGTTCATGACACCTCGGCTCCATCACGTACAGAGTGGCACCCCAGTCTCTCCCCAGACTGACCACCATATTCCCAAGTCACCAGTGCTACTACCACCTTGATTTTCTACCTGGGTTCTTTTTCCTCGTCTCAAGCTCCCCCTCCATGTTACATGTCCTTGCTCTTCATCCCTACAATCACTCTTTCCCCTCTCTTCTGTCAGAGTGAAGGTTCTCATCTCTCATGCTATAACTGGACTGCTCCTGACAACAGCCAGCCCTTCCCCGCTTTCCCTGGCATCCTGATGCCAGAGTGGAATTTGTAAAATACGAATCTGAAGCTGTTACGTGGACAAGAGCCCTGCACTGTAGCCTGGGCCCAGCCTCCTTGTCATCTTTTCCTGGTGTTTCTGTACTCTGCTTCTAGCCGCCCCCTTTCCCTCCCTCACTGCTGGGATGTGCTTCTCCACCCATTGACATGGCGCACACCCAGGCCAAGCCTGTTCGTATGTCACCGTGAAGCTTTTCTCATCACTTCTCTTTCTCCCAGAACAAATCTCGTAGTATTTGTGGTATTATGTTAAACTGAAACTGTTCACTTGTTTGTGGTGAGCTGTTTACAGTAAGCTCCTTTGTAAATGCATTTTTGAGTGAATAAATGAAAAATAACCTCAGTTTGAATATAAGGTGTGAAAAGGGAAAGGAGCCAGGTGTAGTGGCGCACACCTGTAATCTCAGTACTTGGGAGGCGGAGGTAGGAGGATTGCTGTGAGTTTGAGACCATCCTGGGCTACAAAATGAGCTCAAGGGCAGCCCAAACTGCACAGCAAAACGCTGTCTCAAAAAGACAAAAACAAAAATTTAAAAAAAGGGAAAAGAAAGGAAAGAGCCCATGTCTGTGTACATACATACCCCTTTGGTAGGCAGTGGGTTGTGGGTAAACTGCTGGGATTAGAGGCTGTGTGTGTGTGTGTGTGTGTGTGTAAGTGCTTCGGTTGTGTGATGTAACGGAAGTGTCCCTTCCTCAGGTTACCGTCACAGCACGGTGGCTCACCGGGTCACTTTTGGAGGGCAGAGTCTCCTGTGTCCTCAGAGGAGCGGCGGCGCAGGGACAAGCAGCACCTGGATGATATCACAGCAGCACGGCTCCTGCCGCTGCACCATCTGCCCACGCAGCTGCTGAGCATAGGAGAGTCTTTGGCACTTCAGCAACAGCAGAAGCAGAATTACGAGGTATTTCAAGTACTGGGTTCTTGTCCTTGTGTTGGATGCTCCTCGTTTGTCAGAGTTTACTCAGGAGTTCAGGGAGGAGGGGTATGACGAGAAGTAGGTGCTGAGGCCACCATTAGCTCTCAGAGATGAGACACAGAATCGCTAAAATGGCAGGCAGCAGCCCACGACGGTCCCAGCCTCTTCCAGTATCCACGGTGATTTCCCAGGGAGAGGGCTGCGGCTTCGGTCTGCAGGCCCAGGTGTGGCCTGCGTCCCTTGGGGTAGCATGGCGCTGTGAACCCCATCGATGGGGCTCCTCGCCCTTGGGATGCAGCCCCGGCCTGCTAAGATCACTGGGAAATGTGGTTCCACTCTTGCTTCTTCTTTGGTACGGACAGTGCTCACCGAGTGGGGAGGTGTTGTGTTGCCAGCAGACGTCAGGAGTCGGGCCCAAGTGAGGAGAAAGTCTCCTCCTTCCGTCATCTAGATCAGTTTGTAGCACTTACCCTGTGGTGTGCGTAGCTGATGGTAGCTTAACGGAGTAGAGAAGCTAAGGGTGAGAGGGGAATTCAAAGTAGATATTCTTGGTTAGTAGTCCCTTGAGCCACCTGGTGACAGCATCTTGAGCTACTTTGGTAGGTACTGCTTAGCTAGATTTGAGTCAGGTACTGTGCACCGCTCATGGAAAGCTACCCTGTCAGTCTGTCTTGGCCTTTCATAAATGCTCAGTTAACGTGGGTTGACATTTTCAAGACAGTGTTTTACCATTTTTCTTCTTGGTGTGTTAAAATTACTACTAGTTATGACTTCAGCCTTGAGGAAATGTTTTCTAAATTGTTTGTGGAATCTAAAATGCCTGTCTTCAGATAATTCGAGGTTTAGTTTACCCCTTTGGTATGAAATCAGTTTCTTTGGCAGAGTACTAGTTGCAGCTTCCACATCTGCCTGCTTGTAATACTCAGGGCCCTGGGAGAAGGGCACGGAGAAGTCCAGGGCACCACAAAGGGGGGAGCCTGCCCGCCCCAGTCGCAGGTAACGTCCTCAGCGTGCGTGAGCGCACTGCCTAGCTGAGCTCACCTGGGCCTTTGTGGAGTGAGATTTCTGTAGGACTGTATTAGGTATTAGAATCAATACCTGATTGTCTTCTGTCATTGAAATGTAATTCTCATGCCTAGAAGCCATGATTTCATCTGCAGAAGAAGGTGCTATCATCTGGAGAAATAAACACAATTCCTGATTTTTGACATTTAATCGATCTGGTCACTTCCTGTGTCACTTGCCACTGAAAAATTGTAAGAAAAAGATACAAATGTATAACTTTTTGCTTTGTTCTTTGCTTTAAAGGAAATGCAAGCGAAGCTCGCAGCACAAAAGCTAGCAGAAAGACTGAATATTAAAATGCAGAGTTACAGTCCTGAAGGGGAGTCTGTGGGGAGGTACCGAGAAGTGAGGGATGAAGGCGACGCTCTGTCCTCTGACGACGAGTGCTGAAGACGGCGCTGCGGTGACCTGCGCTCCGACAGTTACATCAGACTTGGTAACAAGTATCGAGATCATCAGTGTCGGACATAGCTGAGGGAAACACCTTATAGTTACACCAAGGAAGCTACAAGAAAAAGCCCAATTTGTTTTTTCAGATGGTGATCTTCATGTGCTTGAAAAGTTTACTATTTGAATATCGTGTTTAACCATATTGTATTAAAGTTTTGCAGTTTGTTGTACATTGATCTGATATTTTAGTATGTGGTAGAGCAGTTTTTTTCTTTAAGCCAAATGAAATCAGATGACTGCTTGTCTCCTTAATCTTACTTTTATCAAACAGTATTTCTCACATCTTCCAGTGATGGATGTAGTTGTCCTGGACAGCTAAAGTGTGTTAGGAAGGCAGTTCCCTGCTTTCCTGCGTAGCTAAGGGAGCCGACTTGAGAAGCTGAGGCAGGCTGCATGGAGCTCCTGAGCTATTGGAAGTGAAGTGCCTAGGAGAACACTGGGAAACATTCGGAAGTGTTTGCTTCCTCCTCCTATCTTATGTGAGGAAGCTTCTCCTTTCCTTCTCCTTAGGAACAGGAATAGTTCTTGGAGATGCTGCATGTGGAGGGTCTCGTGGGAAGTCAGATTCACGGGGAGTGACTGTACAGGAGGAGTCCACGGTGCCCGAGCTTGGTGAAAGTTTCAGTGCTGTTCTCGGGCGGCACCTGATGGGTTCTGTGAGCTGGTGGGTGAGAAGTCCAAGTGTGGGACATACGTGTCTGGTAAGGAAACCAGAATTTTAAAGTTACAATTAGGTTGTCAGTACATTGGAGTTTTTTCCCCAAAGAAGTCATATATAGGTCTTAGAAATCTCAATCTCATATATACACGTTCCTGTCGTTTTAAATGATTGGATGTTGTCTCCAGAGGAATTAACGCTTACATTATCGAACAATTCTTTGCCTGATATGTGGAGCCTTTAAAATACTGAAAGCAAAAAATATTAGAACAACTTCAAATGCTCGTGGTGACATTTTACTGGTATCTAAAGTTTGCTTCTTTAAAAAAGAGGCCGTTCGTGTGTGACGTTTGCCGGGAAGCACATGGAGGCCAGAGGCCCTGTGACAGGTAGGGCTCGAGGCCTGCTCTGTTTGCTGGTAGGAGCTGCTTTCCATCTTCCCTCTTCCTGGAAGAAGCAAACATTAAAGAATGCTGAACCGACAGTTTTGTTGTTTTTAGTTTTTAAAACTAATAACGGGTTTCAAAACAAAGTGATTTGATATTCCTTAGAGAATGAAAACACGTCATTTCTGCAGAGTGGGAAGCAGAGGTGCTCCTGTGCATGTGCAGTCTTTAAGCCCACCCGCCAGACACAGCCTGTGGTGTTTAAGTCCGTACTGTTACTTAGTTTTCTCTGCGTAGCTATACATTCATATTTTGAAAATGTAGTCATACCATATATTGTTTCATAGACTGCTCTGACTATTATAAACATTTTTCTGTATAAATACTTGCATTTTAGATAGCTGCAGAATGTTTTTCATGGGTGTTCCATAACTTAAAATAATTACTTATTGTGTAAAAATTGTTTATTATGTGATCTCAACCGTGCTTTGATCAATATCTTAAAAAATAATCACACCTACCAGGTGTGGTAGTACATACCTATAATCCCAGCAGTCTGGGAGGCTGAGGCAGAAGGATCACAAGTTGGAGCTTAGCTTGGGCAATTTAGTGACTTAGCGAGACCTTGCCTCAAAATTTTAAAAGGGCAGAGGCAAGGAATGTAGCTCAGTGCAGAGGCTCTGGGTTCAACGCCTGGTACCAAAAAAATGAAACAAAACAAAAACCCAGAAAAAACATACATTTATTTTCAGAGACATTTTTTAAGAAGTGAAATTGCTAGAGGAAAGGTATATAAGTTTTTGAGACCCTTGCTACATATCACTTATTTCAGAGAGTGTGTCCATTTATATTTCCTTAAGCAATATGTGACCCAGGATTTAAAATTACTATTTAAGATATTTGCAAATTAATTATAGGAAAACCTTAGTGAAGGCTTTTTTTGTGTTTGTTTTCCATTTCCATTCATTCTTTTGAGACCTGCTTATTCATATGATTGTCCTGTTACTGTTTTGGAGAGCTTGCCCTTCTTGGTTTGAATTCTTCATAAATTAAGAATGCCATCCTCATACAATATGTATGCCCCTCATACAGCATTTTACCGTGTTATTTGCTTTTTTATGTAGCTTACGGTATTTCAGCATATTTTTCTTTAGAAGTCTCCCTTTACCTGTGTGCTTGAACATGCGTAAGTATGGGTAAATATACTAGTTTTGGGGTTATGTTGCTTTTTTTCCCTTTTTACAGTTGTTTTTAATTCAATAGGAATTTTATTTTGTTTTTACACACACCTCATTTAATCTAAATAACTGGAATGAAAACAATTTTAATCTCAAGTTTATTTGGAGGTACTGTGTGAGGAAGAGATTTAAGATTAATCTTTGCAAAGAGTATCAGTTACTTCAGTATTGTAAGCCACTCTTTTCCTTTGTAATGCTCTATTTATAGAATATAAATTTTTATGTGTCTTTTATATCTTTGGTTTATTTCTGGGCCTTCTGATTTTTTCCTTATTATCCACCATTCTGGTTTTAATTGGTGTTTTATTTGGTAGAGTGAGTCTCCCCATTTTCTTGGAAATTTTGTGAAATACAGCCCACAGAAAAACACATCAAATACATGTGCTGTTTAGTAGATACACCAGCAATTAAGCACACTTTGAGACAGAGAAGCCATTGCTGGCTCTCAGAATCTCCACGTCCCCTGGTGACCGCCACCACCGCCCTCTGTCCCCAGAGGCCACCACTGTCCTGACTTCGTAGTAAGTTTCTCCCCTCCGTTCTTTAAAAACATCTTTTTATCTGTTATTACGTGACAGTATAGCTTATTTTGCCCACTTTTGCCTCCTATAAAGATTGAATCATTCTGTATGTTGTGTCTGGTGTCCTTAATGTTACTGAGAAAATTCATGTCCATGGGTGTGGCTGGTTCATTTTTATTGCTGCATAGTGTCCTGTTTGTTCAGTACCACTGTCTTTATTCTGTGATGTTTTCAGGTTTTGGCTGTGACAAGCAGTACCTTTTCACCCATAGGCATGTCTCTGTAGGATATGTACCCGGGAGTGGAATTGCTGGGTTAGGAGGTATGCACATTGTGAGCTTTTCATGTTCCCACACCCTTCCCGTGTATAAGAGTTACGGTATTACCAGACTTCAGTTTGAGCCAGTGTGATGTTGAAGGCATTCACTGGTTTTATTCTACATTTCCCTAATGAGGAATGGCATTGAGCATTATTGGATGCTTAATTGGCTGCTGGATTTCTTCTGAAAAGGGCCCATTTGAATCTCACCCCTTTTTTGTTGTACTGTGTTAGCTGCCTCCTTTTCCTGTGTTTTGTAGGATAGCTTCTGGATTCTGAAGTGTGGTATTTAAACAAAGAGTTTGGTATGTGGTTGGTTGTGCTTATATCTTCTCCCCTTCCCGAGCTGACTTCATCATCTTCATGCTGTCCCATCGGGCGGCTTGTAGCGCTTCTCAGGGGGTCTTTGATGACAGTGATGCAAAGAAAAGCATTGATGTAGCAGACCATATGTCATCCTATTACAGTTCCTTAAGGAAAACCTGAAAATGGTATAAAAATTGTAATACAGCTGATTTGTGGTACAGCGCTTGTGAATGCGTATTACACCAGCAATGGGGTACTCACAAAGTTTCCATGTTAAAATTTATTAACTATGGTTATTGATAAACTATTCACAAATGTAAATAAATTTAATGAAATAAATTTGTTGATTATTGTAATATTTTTAATTGGTATAAATAGTAGTAATATTTATATTTGGGCAGTAATTATGTAAATTTATGCAACTAACTAGATTTGGTCCATTTACAGACTTTATTGATTTTATTAGTAAAAAACCCAATAAAAGTGATTAGATCCATTTGTACCACCAGTGGTACAGGCTGTCTGATGAGACGGTCACTCATGTACCTCTGGTGGCTCAGGTGGGCGAGAATGTGTAAATTTATTTGTGCTAATGATACATGGCCTTATTCATGTTGACTTTGTAGGGTGGCTGGAGCAAGGCCTGCCATGTTGCTTTTCAAAGTGGTTCGGGTGTTTTTGGCCCTTAGCATTCTTATATAAAGGCTGAATTTTAGATCATCTTGTCATGTTCCACAGAAGAACTCCTTGGTAATGCAAATCTTCTTTCATTTTCAAAACAAATGTTTGTTATTCTGTCACTGATCATTAGTTTTTTATTTATAATGGTCCACATTCCAAAATGAGATGGGGGATGTGGAGCCTCCCGATTGCTGCAGTGTCTACTGCTCTGTGAGGGGGCTGTTTCTAGTTCCTGTGTTTAAGTGGGAAACTCGGAGTGCTGGCTCAGTGTGAATACCTCGGTGTGGTACAGCTTTGATGGAGCGGAGGTAACAAGTAAAGAAGAGAGGAATTTTTTTGAAAAGTCAGAATGAGGCTTAGAACGAGAAGATGGAGTGGACCTGCAGCATTTTGAACCCTTGCCTTTGATTTCCTCATGATCACGACAAGGAAATGAAGCGCTCAAGCTTGGGGCTCAGCCTAAAGTGCGGAAGACATTACGAGGACTGATCCCACTGCACACACTCATCAGTACAGGACATTAGTGTGAGCTCTCATCTCTGGAGGACTGAACACCGCGGAGTGCTGCGGGCTAGTGCAGCAGAGAGCGTGTCTGGATTCATTTCTCCTGTAACGGGGATGTCGAGGCAGTTTGCTCACGGTTCCCCACCGGCAGCCGAGAGGAGGACTCAGCGTCCAGGTTTTGGGCTGTGGACTGCACGGCTTTGCAGGTGACACTACACATCGAGCTGCAGTGTCGTGGTACGCGAGCTTAGGCCGTCTGTGGGACTGTGTCATTTCTGACGTACACGACAAAAGAGCTTTTGCGTTCCAGTGACTCGTGTTTGGAATGTGTTCTTTAAATCGTTTTGAGACCGTGTGACTATTGTAGCTACCACTCGTATTTTTATTCTTCCCTCTGATTACTGGCTGCATAAATTTTGTAGAGGAGACTTGAGGAAAAGTGGCATCAGTATTGAGCTTTTCTCAAAGGATCAGGGCAGACTGGTAGTTTACCCTGTAAATGCCTCCCCAAGCCCCTGTCCTGGGCATGGATCCCAGGGGTGCTCTGCCACTGAACTACATCCTCTTTTAACATTTTAGGGTCTTGCTAAGTTTTCCAGGCTGGCCTCCAATTTGTGACCCTCCTGCCTCAGCCTCCTGAGTGCTGGGCTTAGAGGTGTGTGCCACCATTCCATACTCTCCCTCTTTGGGTTTATGGCATAGTTGGTGCCACTAAAAGTTAGAAAAAACAAACAAATTTCAACTTTGTGTAAATTGAGAAGTTGGAAATGCTATTATTGTAATTTCTGTCTTAACGGGAGGAAGCTTTGGTAAATGAGCCTCATGTTGGGTCCTATTGAACCTTGGGCAGGCCACGAATCAGACGCGAATGAAGTACAGGATAAAAGCCTGGACAGTTGAGTATGATGAGTAAAGTCACCTGTTACTTTCCAGGTGACTTTAGAAACTTGGAGCAAAAAAGAAGGCTAAAAACAAGGGTAAGCCCCTGGAATGGCATTTGATTATGAGATTAGGACCCAAATGCCTCTATTACCTTCAACTACAGGGAAGTTATGTACTTGCATGGCTAATAAGCCTGTTCATTGAGGTCAGTGGCCCCTTACCTAATGCACCAGGTATGTTCTGAACATAATTTGGAAGAGTGGCCCCTGAGGGCTAAAAGATTTTATATAAGAGCCTTGTAATGATGGTAACAATTACAGCTGAAGCTGGTTTAGGAGAAGCAGTTTTGCCATATGAAGTGAAATGTTTTAACAACACCACCATATGAAACTTTTAATTTAGTGTTAAAATTAACCAAGAAGATGAAAGAATGTAAGATTGATCAAATAATCAAAGACAATAACAAGTAATTAAAAAAAAAAAAAACACTGGAAATGATGCAGAGCTTCACCATACAAGATGGTAGGAGGTCAACAATGGTGGTTATACTGCATATTGTTGTTTTGAGATCAGTCATTCTGATTACCAGATTCAAGCCTGCAAAATTGGTCAAGAAAAAAGAAAATTTTAAGCATTAACTGTTCCTTTCAATAAACCACAGACATCACTGTTAATTCCTATCATTTTGTTTTGAGGTCATGTATCCTCTTTGTGTGTGTGTGTTGTTTTGATTTTGATTTCACTACTGTTTTCGTTTTTTATCTTTAAAATATGAAAATAAAAATAAAATTAACCAAGAAGAAGAAAGACTCCTTAACTGATCTGACAAGGGGAAGTTAGGACACTGACCTAAGGAGGGCCCCAGCTTTGTATGGAGAAGTTCCATATTATTATTATTCTCTTTTAGAAGTTCCACATTATTAAAACAAAGGAAAAGTTGTAAATCAAGGCCTTATTTATAGCACACAGAAATAAACCTTACATTTAAGAGGTAGAGACTCAGCTTATAAATTATCTGAAAATATTCCTAAGAAATACATCAGTTTTCTTGGTTTTTTTTGTTTGGTACCAGGGATCAAACTCACAACCTCACACTTCCTAGGCAGGCACTTGTGCCACTGAGCTATATCCCCAGCCTACATCAGTTTTCTTAATGAGAACCATATATACTTGTATTATGTACCATTCCTAGTGATTGTTGTATAAAACAAAGTATATCTTGGTCTTAGATTTTTAACAAAAAGATTTTCACCTGCTCCCTAGCTGCCTTTCAAACTGAAGCACCATTAAGAAAACTGCCAGTGGAAGGTAAATCTTACCATTCTTTAGTAGTTAGGGAAGTGAGCTTAGAATTCATTCCACCCACAGCGGGAGAAACTGAGGCACAGAGTAGCACAGAGACCTGCCTGTGCTTGTGCAGCGGGCTCTGACAAAGCCCCCCGGTGCTCTTTGCCTGTACATGCAGTTTTATAATTAATTCCTTAACACATTTTGCACAATTATAGAAAAAGTACAGTACCCGACAGTTATCTTCTAATTTTGAAAGTACAGAAAGGTTTGATTTCTCTAGTCTTAATTATTGCGGATTTAATTGTTATGATTATTACTTACGACTATTTGGGAGGGGTAGGTAGCGTGTGTCCTGTCATGTAGGCGTGCGGCCCTGCGTTTCCTTTACCTTGTCTGTTTGGGTGCCTTCCTTGGAGCTCCTCCTCCGCGTTTCCAGCAGCTTGACTCCTGTGAGCTCCCCACATATCTCACCGACCCCTGAAATCTCAGCGCAACACCCCCGCAAGGGTCCCAGGGGCTTGGGGTCTCCACGTACTCTGCTGTGAGTTAGTATAGCCAGGCCTCTTAATTGCTCAGTGTGTATCCATTCATTAGGTGACTTTTCTCCTGAAGGGAAGTAGACCTTGAAGGAAAGGGAGAAGAGAAGAGGGGCGGTGGAAAGCAGAGGACAAGGAGAGGAAGCAGCCGGGAAGCGCGGGGTGCTTCACCCTAAAGTCTGCCATACTCCTCACTTGTGCTTGATCCCAGCATCTGCCAACCCCCACTAAAAATAAAAAAAATCTTTGTCAAGGTCACCACCGGCCAGGCTGCCGAACTCAAGAGCGGATTCCCAGTGCTCATGATCTCTCAGCGGTGTCTAGCATAGTTGATCGCTCTCGCCTGGTTCTGGAACACCACTCTTTCCTGGAGGTGCTGGGTGGCTACTTCCTGCTCTCACCTTCCCAGCGCCGAAACGGGGCTCTCTCCGTCTGCGCTCACTCTCCCTCGGGTGACCGAGGCAGCCTGAGGAATGTGCACACCAGCTCCTCATGCTGACTGCCAAGCCTGCGTCTCTAGTTACCACCTCCCTTCTCAGCTCAGCCACAGCAAGACTGCTGAGGAGCCTCAGGCTCTCGGGCAGGGACCAGGACGTACCATGATGGTGGCAGGGGGCAATGATGGCAGAGTTCTCGCTTTGGTACCACATTTCCCTCAAAATCAGACCTAGCTGGTCCACAAGACCCGCCTGCGTCCCAGCTGCACGGCCCCACTGCCCTTCAGATGCACCTTAAGGTGGGTGCCAGTGACTGTAAAACAACCCCTTGGCTGCTTTATTTTCTTCATAGACCTACATGTTGTTCGTTTTGCCTGACTTCCCCTAGTAGAATAGAGCGCAGGGATCTTTGTGTATTGTGTCCCCAGCCTGGAACAGAGCTAGACGCATAGCGGGCTCTGGAAGGTTTGGGGATGGAGGAACGCAGGGAGAGGAAGGCGGGCTCAGAGGCCCGCGCCCTCGCCTGCCAGCACCTGGGGCCTCCTTCGTGCTCCCCGTCCCAGGTTCTCCGGGGAAGGAGCCCGGGGCCGAGGACGGACCCTCCCAAGGTCACTCGCTGAGACCTGCGCTAGAGGGGCGCACCGGAGTCGCGTGGCCGTCGGGGCCCGGTGTCAGTGCCGCGGTCACGGGTGCCAGGGACGGCAGCTTGGCGCTGCCCAGGAGCCAGGCAGGGGGAAGGCCGCCGGAAGTCGCGGCGGGAGGACGGCGTGCGCTCGGCCTAGCGCCTGGCCCTGGGCTCGGCCGGGCAGACAGACAGCTCGCGGGACGGGTCAGGCAGAGGCCCCTGCGCAGAGGAGCTGGGGGCACCGCCTCGGCTCAGCCGAAGAAAAGGGTTTGAAATGGGCTTCGGACCCTGGGAGTGTGAGGAACGCGGCGGGGATGGTGAGGTACCATCAGAGTATCAGCAATCAGAGGCAGGGAATGCGCACATCCGGGAAAGGGAGAAGCTGGGTGCCTACGTCAGAGGCACTCAGAATAATGCAGAGTTACATTAGAACTCAGAGGCTTTTTAAAAAAATATATACAGAGCGCAGAGTGACGTCTCCGGGACTTTCAAATGTGGACTAAGGTTGCAGACACTGTGGAGAGGTGTGCAGGGTACTTATTTGGGGAACCCTGCACGAAGCATCAGGGAAGGAGACAAACCGGAAGTGGAGGGTGGGAAGTGGAAAACCGGAAGTGGAGACTGTGGGATGTGAGGAGGTCGCCCTAGGGACTCAGGATCCTCCCAGAGAGGTCTGGAGCTCGGACACCTCTAGGGCCACAAAGGGTGACTAATGGGCCCCAAATATGACTGAGTCCTAACCCTTCATCCCTGTGCATGTGACCCTACTTGCAAATAAGGTCTCACAAATGTAGTGAAAGGAAAAATTTCAAGATAAGGTCACCCTGTCTGTAGAGCAAGTCCTGAATCCAGCGGCTGTGGTCCTCAGAAAGGAGAAAGACAGACAGACAGACACCTAGACTTGGGGCAGTTGGGCGGGGAGAGGAGCAGAGGATGGAGTGAGGCACCTGGGAACCGAGGACACCCAGGACATGGAGGGGAAGGGCCAGCTTGGACGCCTTGATTCAGACTTCCAGCCCACACTGTGAGGAAGTAAAACTCTGGTGTTCTGAGCCAGCCAGTTAGAGGCAGTTTGTTAAGGCAGCCCAGGGACAAGAATAGACTGATCAGTCAGTAGATGCCCCATAAGGAAGGGTGACCTTGGGTCGGCCAGAAGCAGATCCCAGAGAGGGTGGCAGCCAAGGCCTGGTCTGGCAGCCCTTGCAGCAGCAAGGGAAGCGGGAGGGGTTGGGCGGCACAGTAAGGCAGTAGGACAGCCTCTTCTCTGTCCCTGGTGTTCTCATCTGCACAATGGGAGTAACAGCGAGACCTATCTCACTGTTATTAGACTAGATGACAAGACAAACAGCTCACATTTACAGCACCGACTGTATATGCACCAGCATGCCATCCATGAGTTCCTCTTTACTCACCTGTGGCCCAGCACATTGGAGGCCCCAGTGAACAGTAGCTGGTATCCTAGGGACTGTGTCCTAGGTCTCAAAGGTACCAGAGCCAGGACAGACACAAGTTTCTGACTCTCTGGTGAGGCTTCTTCTGTGGTAGGCCCCCTCCCTGCATGCACCCTCTTTTCATGGTAGTGCTCATATTTTTTATGCAGTGAAACAAAATTTGTGCTTCACCAAAGAAGTATGATTTTGCCTCATCATCTACAGGCAGGAGCTCTGAGTTGTCTGAAATTGATCCACGCTGTCTCCAACGGACCTCGGGTGACCGGAGACATTAATTTGTGAGACAGGCTGGGGCAGGGGGCAGCAGGGCTGGGCACAGCTCTCTGCTGCCGACGGCTAATTGGCTCTGTATCCTGCATCTGCTGACACGGCATTCCTGAGAGGCAGGGAGAGGCCAGATATGATCGTCGTAAAGAGGACGAAGTGAAGGACAGAGAGATTAGCCAGGGTGCCCCCTTCATTATGCGGTGAGCTAGAGATGGAGCCAAGAATTGAATCCAGATTTCTCAACTCCCAGATGGATTTTCTCATCCGGAGGTCCTGCCACATTCCTCCCACAGAGCTGCCCACTTGCCCGATCCCAGGGCCCACACCTGGGCTGAGTTCATGGGTGTGTGTTCGTGTGTTACTGCTTCTTTGGCATAATGTTCATCCTTAAAAAGAAAGAAAAATAACTTTCTCACCCGTAGAAAATGGTCACTTAATTGAGAATAACATTGATGATACACAGCTTGTTCAAATGCTCTTAACCACATCTATTTTTTAAGAATTTTTGGTGTGGGAGGTCTGGAGTCCAAACAGATTTGACCCATACATTTCTTTGCAGAAGAATTTGCACATGAAAGCATTATACAGTTATTAAGGTTAAAAGGAATTTTCTACATTAGTTAAAACTCTTGAGATAACATTGACATTGACCAAAAAGGGACAGTGCTCATCCAGAAATTTGCAAGGGCACCAAACACTTCCTACCCAGAGGACACTTGAGAAACACTGTCAACTTCCACCACTAGGGGGTTAGGCCTAAATTATGCATCAAATGTTCCTCCCAAGTACAGTTAACTGTTTCCATATTTTCACACAAAGTTGGCTTCCTAGCAAGGTAACCTAAGCACAGATTACTGTTCCTGTTGCCCTTGGAGACCTATCCCTGGTGCATGTCTCTGCCTTCAACTCAATTCTCTATTTAGAAAGTATGACTATTAAAGAACAATCTAGTGTGCAAACTTTTATCTAACTGGTTACGGACCCCATTGTTTCTATTTTCTTTTTCTTTTTCTTTTTTTTGAGACAGGTCTTGCTGTATAACTCAGGCTGGCCTTAGACTGACTTTGTAGCCCATGCTGGCCTTGAACTTGTGGCAATCCTCCTGCCTCAGCCTCCCAAGTGCTGAGATGATAGGCCTGAGCGTTTCTATTTTTGACACTCCTTATGAAACCACCAAAGTCAGAGCTGTGCCTCTGCAGGAGCTGGGCCATTGCCCTTCCCGTGGTCTGCAGCCTGGCCCCTGGGCCTTATCCTGACTCTCTGTTAGAAACAGAAATCATTTCCCCCTTGGGTGTTCTGGAGCCATGGGCAGCTGTGGGGTCTTTAGCTATTCGTTCCTCCACAGAGCTGAGAAGTTCACAGGAAGACACAGCCTGTAGGTTTGTTTGGTCATCCATTTGTTTCCATGGTGGCTGCTGACATCTGTCCCTTAGCATATGCCAGACTGTCGGGCTGATCCCCTGGCCTCTTACAATGAACTGTCCAGTGGGAAATACTAATAGTTACGACTGTGGAAGCATAATGGAAGGTGCTGTGGGAACACAGATTCTACTCGCTCCTACTCCCTGTCAAGCGTTAACTCTTAGCCACGTTCTTCCGCACTCAACAGACAGCACACAGCACTGGAATCATTACTACACGCTGCAGGTAATGCTCTGTCACGCAAGGGGGGTGGGTTAAAAGTGTGTTCCCTTTGGGCTCAACTCAAAGATGTCTTTTAGCAAGAGAGCAACAGAAGTGCTGGGGCTAGGAATAAAGATAATTTGTGTGGCACAGCGGAGGTGGGAAGGTGACAGTTCTTGCTGTGCTGTTCTAACAAGGCAAGTGCCTGGCTTACATTCCCGGGATTTGAATTGTCTATTTTCTAACATCAAGGAGTTGGACCAGGTCCACATGTCCCAAAACGTGTCTCTTAAAGCAGAAGTCCAGAGAAAAGTGGAATTTGGTGGTAAAACGAGTTTGGGAAATACAGCATTATCTCTGCCCCCTTAACACTCTGTCCCTTGGAAATTCAAAATCACTTTAACAGATGAGAGATTTTAAGGGATCCCAGGATAAAGAGCCCATTTAACCCAATGTTTTGCAAATGTATTTACCTGGAGATCCAATTTTATGTTATTATAACCGTTAATAAATGCTAGATTAGATCTAGTTCACTGAAAAACCAATAAACATTTATTGAAAGACTACTTTGTGCTAAGAAGTTACCTCTCAGGCTGTATCATACGAGTTTATGAATCTTAGTTTTTAAGCGAGGATTTTCCTGAAGGTGACACCTCCTCGTGAGTGCACCCATAGCACCTAGAAGTGACTTCCTCCCTGAGGGCACTACACAGTATCATGACTGGTCTGTGACGTTGTCATTTAAATGAGATTTCATTCTCTGTAGTGATCAGGACAAACGGCAGAGGGTGAGTAGTGCTTGGCTCCTGCGGGTCCTAGCCCCCATCTGATCCTAGCTGGGAGGACAACCAGGCTCTGAGTCATGCTGCTCTTCAGAATATTCACTCAAACTTCATTCACTCTTGTCCCCTTCCCCTGGGTTTTAGGTGTTTAATAACTTGGGTGAAATTCAGTTAGCTTTGGGAAAGAGGAATTTTTGGAGCGTATTTCTTCTGTGCAACTGATTAAAAAAAATCCCCATCTGTTTAGTTCAGAAATATATTCATTTTATCTTTTGTCGTTTTCACACAAAG